AAAAAAAAAAAAAAAAGAAAGAAAAAAGAAAAAAAAAAAAAAGCACTTAACGTCCTTTCCTTAATAAAGGCTTCCGGTACTAGACATAATGATTTTCCTATCTGGATGAGATTAATTGCAACTCAGAAATATTATGAAGTGCTTTAAACTGGATGCAGAACAAGTATCCAGCATGCTACCATTTGTGTTAATACACACACATGTCCTTTTATATGCACAGGTATCTCTGAAAGGATATGTGAGAAATTGGTAAAAGTGGCTGTTCTGGCTGGGCGTGGTGGCTCACACCTGTAATCCCAGCGCTTTGGGAGGCCGAGGTGGGCAGATCACGAGGTCAGGAAATTGAGACCATCCTGGCTAACATGGTGAAACCCTATCTCTACTAAAAAATACAAAAAAATTAGCCGGGCATGATGGCAGGCGCCTGTAGTCCCAGCTACTCGGGAGGCTGAGGCAGGAGAATGCCGTGAACCCAGGAGGCGGAGCTTGCAGTGAGCCGAGATCGCGCCACTGCACTCCAGCCTGGGCGACAGAGCCAGACTCCGTCTCAAAAACAAAACAAAACAAAACAAAAAAACAAGTGGCTGTTCCACGGAGAACCAGGGGGCAGAGGTGGGACTGAGACTTTTCCCTGTATTGATTTTTGTGCCTTTTCCAAATGTGAACTATGTGAATGTACTACCTATTCATAAAATTTAATTAAATTTTTTAAGAAAGAGTGATTTTTCATGTTTTACTGAGGCTGAGAACCTAAGTAAGAAATATGAACTCGAAGTTGAGTATTTTATGACTTTTGCAGGCCAAGGACATCTATGGGAAGAATGGAAATTGCCAGGGTCCACCCACTTCAGCACACTTTAAGTTGGGCTCAAGTGTACCAAATCAAGCTCAAATGGAAAAACATGATGCTGACCTTATTCTGGAGAGATTAAGTAATAATAGTAATAACCATGACGGAATGTTCAAACAATTTCAATTCTTAGAGAGCAAGTATTCACCCTTCAGAAAAACATCATTTCCAAAAGAAAGCCTCCAAGGCTGTGCATCAAGAGAGGTCTCATTTGAGAAGACTGAAACTGAACAAGAGTCCTGAAAGGCCAAGATCTTTCTCAGAGAAGAGATCTGTACCTGGATTTCTGGATCAGGATGCTGGAGCCGTAACTAGTAGAATGAGTTCTTAATTTGAAAGCGAGAGTGAGAGGGTGAGTGAGTGAGTGAGACAGTGGGAACTCACATTCTAGAGGATATGCAATCAGACATTTTATCATGAGACTACATTAACATCTGTGTCAGTGGGTTAAGTTATGGGACTGAGCAATACTCTGCCAGGTAGTCAATTTCTAAAATTAGTAACTAACTGATTCCACTGCAACATGATCCCTTTTCCATCTCTCTGTACCATCTATGTCTTGGAGATGTGAAGTGATATTCTACTTCAAGGTAAATCAAATTAAATGCTGGTAAATCCTTTACCTTTTTATTTTTTATTTTATTTTATTTATTTATTTTTTTGAGACAGAGTCTCGCTCTGTTGCCCAGCCTGGAGTACAATCTCAGCTCACTGCAACCTCCACCTCCCGAGTTTAAGCAATTCTCCTGCCTCAACCTCCGGAGTAGCTGGGATTACAGGCGCGTGCCGCTACACCCAGCTAATTCTTGTATTTTTAGTAGAGATGGAGTTTCACCATGTTGGCCAGGCTGGTCTTGAACTCCTGACCTCAAGTGATCCACCCTCCTCGGCCTCCTGAATTGCTAGGATTACAGGCGTGAGCCACCATGCCTAGTCCCATTTTTGTTTTATAAATTTGTTTTGTTTCTACTCCTTACAAATTTGACAGCCAAAACGAATACACTCTAGGAAAAGGTACAGTCCTTTAAAAGATTCATGAGTGTACTAACCTAGTAGGTAAATATAGTCCAGTTTTAAAACTTCCAAATATCTGGACCTGAAACAGAAAAAGAAGTTATTATATTGAGGTATCAGATAAAGTCACCAAGATATGGAGAAATGTCAGTTTTTGCTACCCTCTACTGGTACTTTTCGGTATGACAAGAGCATTTTTTTTTCTAACCCCATTCTTCATGAAGTGGGCATTCTGTTTCACAAGCAGACATTCTGAATATAATTTAAACTTACCTGGTACAAATATGAAACACAGAGACCAAAATACAGTTGTCCCTTGGTATCGGCAGGAGACTGGTTCCAGTCCCACTATGCCAAAATCTGAAGATGCTCGAGTCACTGCTATAAAATGGTGGAGTATTTGCTTATAACTATGCGAGTCCTCCCATATACTTTACATCATCTTTAGATTATTTATAATACCTAGTACAATGTAAATGCTATCTAAATAGTCGTTATACTGTATTTTAAAAATAATTTGTATTGTTTTTATTGGTGCATTGTTATTTTTATAGTTTTTTCTGAATATTTTCAATCCACTGTTGGTTTAATATGGAGGTGTGGTACTTAAGGATACAGAAAGCCAACCACAGGAAACTTCCAGAAGTAGTTCAGATCAATAATGTTCCCTCATTATCCAGAGACACAATCACAAATCCTTAATTTTTGTTCTCTGAGCAGGAGTCTTCGAATAGATTACTAAATTGGGATCAGACTAACTGTAGGGCAAGTGTGGGCCTTTAGGTCAATTCCACAGAGAACACCAGGCACCATCATTTTATAACATCGTGCTGTGGCATAAAACTGGGATGCATTCCACCTCAACCCATGGAGAACAGGGGAACTCAGGCAGAAATACATATGAAGGTAATTGTAATAAAAAAGGATAGGCCGGGCACAGTGGCTCATGCCTTTAATCCCAGCACTTTGGGAGGCCGAGGCAGGTGGATCACCTGAGGTCAGGAGTTCACGACCAGCCTGGCCAACATGATGAAACCCCATCTCTACTAAAAATACAAAAATCAGCCAGGTGTGGTGACGGGTGCCTGTAATCCCAGCTACTCAGGAGGCTGAGACAGGAGAATTGCTTGAACCTGGGAGGCAGAGGCTGCAGTGAGCTAAGATCGTGTCACTGTGTCACTGCACTCCAGCCTGGGCGACAGAGCAAGACTCCATCTCAGGGCGGGGGAAAAGGATAAACAGTGAAACGAGTTCAACCTCTGAGGCGAGATGGACCTGGGAACCTAACCACAAGCTCATGTTCCTCATCTGTAGGTAGACAGATGATGGCTGGCTGGCTGACTGAAGAGAGAGAGAGAGAGAGAGTCAACCTCCACCTAAGAAAGATAAGGGTTAAGTTAGACCAGGGCTTCTCAATATTGGCATTTGGGAGTGGATAATTCTTTGTTGTCAGGGCCTATACTGTTCATCACAGAATGGCTGGTGGCATCCATGGCTCTACCCACTAGGTACTAGCAGTGCATACCCAGTCAGGACAATCAAAAATGTCTTGGACATTGCCAAACACCCCCCCTGGAGAGCAAAATAACCACCAGCTAAGAACCACTGATTTGGATCACATAGGAGAAAGAATGTGACATATGGTCACTGTTCATAAAATATTAGTATTCTCGCCTTTTCCCTTTACCTACAGTGTCATATATACTGTCATATACATGCAAGTTTTACATACAGTGAAACTTCCTGGTTTTGCCAATTGGACAAAAACACCACCCAGGACAGTGCCTAAAGAAAAGTTACAGAACACAAAGTAATGGATTCTATTAATATTATTTTCTTACTTCTTTGCATACACAAAATCATAAAACAGGCCCTCAAAGTGCCCTAAAAAGTGAAGTATTAACTTAGTACCAGTAACAGGCCAAGTGTGGTGGCTCACGCCTATAATCCGAGCACTTTGGGAGGCCAAGGCGGGCAGACTGCTTGAGCCCACGAGTTCAAGACCAGCCTGGGCAACACAGTGAGACTCAGTGTCTACAAAAAAATACGAAAATTAGCTAGGTGTGGTGACGTGCACCTGTGGTCCCAGCTACTCGGGATGCTGAGGTGGATCACTTGAGCCCAGGAAATCAAGGCTGCAATGAGTCGTGATCACACTACTGCACTCCAGCCTCAGCAACAGAGACCCCTATCTCAAAAACAAAAAACAAAAGACTTGGTACCAGTAACAAAAACAACAAATAAGCCAAGAAGAAATCCCGAGCAATCATTTTGTTCACTGACTGGGAGCTAAAAGGCAATTAGCTGGTCTGAGAGAGATGAAAAATGGCAATTTCAGGAAAGAAATGAGAAAAGACTTATGCCTGCATTAGCCACAAGTGACAAAAGTTCGTACTTGACATTTTCATTCAGCTGTAAACAATTATATAATGTTTATTCTGGCAGGCTGGAACTAAGTAGTAATGAGGTTTTGATATATCATATCCAATAACAGACCACTACAACAATGAGGTTTGATTTGTCTTTCTTCTCTTTACACTAATAATTTCTAACGATAGTTTGCCTTTAGTAGTTGCTATTAGCACTACAAAAAAAAAAAAAAGTTGTTAGTCATCCAAGCCAATGAAAATAATTAGGAAGCCTCAAATTCTAAAGACTGCAGAAAATTCTTCGCCTTTAAAATTTAATTAGACCACAACTCTACAGTGCACTTCTACTTGCATGTGAGGACTAGCATGAGATACTAGCAGATAGGCCTCTGGCACGTGGACAAGGACTGTCCCAAGCATAGGCTACCCAGGAAGGGACTCACGTCAGCGCTGGGCCAGAGCTCCTTAATTACACTCTCGATCCTGTTCACCACCTCCATCCGCATCTTCTCTTCCTCAGGTCTTGGAGACATGTATTCATAAAAATCACTGATTTCTTCATGCAGACTGAAGAAAAAAGCAGAAAAGTTAATATGAATAGGGCCAATCTAATGAGAAATCACTATCTTAAATAATCTTATTTAATTAGGTCTTATAATTCAGTTGATGACTACCTTAATTTTAATGTTATAACTCAAGATAAGCTAAAATGGGAATGTACAGAATTTAATCAAAAAAAACAAAATAATTAAATAACATAAGAAATTTCCTGTGCAAAACACTTGCTGAGGTGCTGGTGATTTAAATAAAATAAAATAAAATTTAAAAAGCATACAGCCTGGCCTCTGCCTTTCCACTTCTGATCTAATAGACACAAGAAGATACTGAATCCAGGCAAATTTCCTGGCAGTAGGGACTGACCCTCTTACCTCTTGGGGATCCATTCCTCACAGTAGCAAACAGTACATCTTTCATAATGTTTGTTCAGTGAATTAAGTGTCAAATGAGCAAATCAGGCAGTGAACAACAGCAAAGTCTTGAAAAGAACGGCTGGTAGACAAAGGCTCCATGAAGGAGCTGAAGACTTCCAGAGTCTGCGAGGTACAGGGCAATCAGCCAGCTACAAGGGCTGTGGCAGACAGAGTGGGAGAAGCATCTGGAGAGGAAAGCAGGCCCCAGTAGAGGGCAGGCTCTGAATGACTGACTGGCTAAGAGGTTCAAGCTTTCCCCCTGTGGCAACAGAGCTATTTAAATGTTTCTGACAGGGACTAGAGAGAGACTGACTTCAAAAATGCAGCATTTTAAGAAAATTAAACTGGCAACTATGCAAACAACAGACCAGCAAAGAGACTAGACTAGATGCAGGGAAAAGTCATGAATCAATGAGTTGCAGGAGGATTGGATCAAGGCCTAGAAGATGGTGGAAGGAAAGGAATGGGCTCCAGAAACAAAACACACACACATACCCACACCCTGTGGCCAGGCGCAGCGCCTGCCTATCATAGTGGTGGGGGGCTAAGGATGCCTTCAAGGGCTGAAGCCTGAGGGCCTGGGGGAAAACTACTGGTCTGGAAGAAAGGACAAACTCACTGGGCTGAGCAATGACTTGAATATAGTCAGGATGGGGGACAGAGAGAAAAGCAGCATTCCTTTCTAAGTTGGTGAGGCTGTGAAGAGCTATAAATGGCTGGGAAGGGAAAGTGAAGAGGTCAGCTCACCTTCCCTAGAGCACTGACCACCCATGAGGACTGAGCCACGGAGGTAAGCACAGGGACTCTACTAACTGGGATAGACCAGGAGGCTCAGAGAAACAGGTGCAAAGCGCCTCAGGGGAAGGAAGGGGCAGAGGGGTTGGCCTGGGGCACAGCAGTGGGAAGGAAGGGCAGCCACAGCTTAACAGAGCCTTGAAGGAGGAGCATGCCTGCAACTGTGTGGCACCTTCAGGGCCCAGAGCAGGAAGCTGGAAAAACTGACACACCAAAAATCGCTTTAGGGAAGGAAAAAAAAGTGTTTACATCCTAATCCCCAAAGGCTATAACTTGTGCTACAAGAAACTCTGGAAAGTGAAAATGTGACTGATTAAACAATCCATAGTTCCTCCTTCTGATTTTTTATTTTTAGCCTAAGAGTCAAAAATCTTGAGTTCTAGACTCAGGTTCTGCCTGAGGGCAGCTGTGTTCCCTTTGACAGGTGACTGGCACTCTCAGGCTTCAGTGCGTCAGGTACAGCACACAGCCGGTAAGCAGGAGCCTTTTCAGGCCTTCAGTTTCAAAACCTGGGCCTTTCGCAGAGGATGATTTACAACAGCGTTCGGCCTGTTTGCTATGCAATATGTCACAAAAAGTGGATCTTAAAACTCCAGAGAGGTCTGTAGGTGAATCCAAAAGATATCCCAGTGGGGCCGTTTTCCTTGCTATGCCTCTGGGTACCTTCGGGACCTTCAACTTCTGTTTTGAAGTTTTGTTTTGTTTTGATTTGAGTTTCCCAGGTTTGATTATGTTCTCTAAGGTTATCTATCCCCTTCTGCTTCTTGAAGATAGGAAGCTTACAGTTTGCTGTGCTCTTCTGCACAAGTCAGCTGGCAAAGATGAGGGCCATGAATAAACGACAGAACAAATGGACTGCTTCTTATCTTACTGCGTAGTCTGCAGTGGCTGATCAGAGTTTATTCGTAGTTCTAAAACAGATCCATAGAAAAACTGCATTTTAACTAATGGGGGGAAAAAAAACTCCTAAATGTGACTGCATCTATTCTGAAGGCCCCCTTATAAATTTTCTAATTCAAATAAAGGCAAAAAGTATTTAGCACAACTGTCAGTCAATATGAAGTCATAAGAAACTGATTAAGAATTCATTCTCTGGCCAGGCGCAATGGCTCATGCCTGTAATCCCAGCAGTTTGGGAGGCGGAGGCAGGCAGACTGCCTGAGGCCAGGAGTTGGAGACCATCTGGCCAACATGGTGAAACCCCTTCTCTACTAAAAATATAAAAATTAGCTGGGTGTGGTGGCGTATGCCTGTAATTTCAGTTCCTTGGGAGGCTGAGGCACAAAAATCACTTGAACTTGGGAGGTAGAGGTTGCAGTGCGCTGACACCGTGCCACTGCACTGCAGCCTGGGTGGTGGAGTGAGATTTTGTCTCCAAAAAAAAAAAAAAAAAAAAAGGAATTCATTCTCTAAACATTACCAAGTGCCTATGTTCAAGGCACTAGGAAAAAACTGGCTCATCAAACATGATCCTTGCCCTGGGTCACTTCCATCTAACAATGAAAAGGAACACTTATTTAATGTAGTTTTGTAGAACATAGTGCAATGCATATGTTCTGTACTATTCTGCCATAGGCAGCTTCCAGATGAATGATTCAGAGCTTTCCAATGATCATAGCTGCCCAGGATGGACTGGGTTGCCTTAGTAGGTTAGTAAGGTCCCTGTCATTATCAGCATAAAGAAACCAGATGACCATGAGGCAAACAAAGGTCCAATAAAACGGTTTTCTGAACTTGGTAAAAAGTTGGAAAAGATTCTAAAATTCGCTTTCAGTGCTGCAATCTAGTGTTCTAACTAGCACATTAACTTGGGGGAAAATTATTACAGATTTGTAAGACAAGCTCTGAAGACTACCCTCAACAATCAATAGCCCATGGCACCACCTTCCTATTTCAGAAAAAAATGGTTCCACAGGTTATTGTATTTTGATTGATGCATATGTGTAACTATCAATGCATATGTGCATCAATCAAAATACAATACAATTTGATTGACGCATATTTGCAATCAATTTGTATTTTGATTGATGCATATTTGCAAAATGGAAGGGGGAAAGAGGAATACGGAAAAAGAGGAGGGCTATTAAAGCAAAGCCACACTTGCAAAGTCAGAAGAGGAAATCCAATCTCAGGTCTGCCAGGCTCAGTTTCTCATCCACACCAGGCACAAGCATCACTATCTCACCTATATGTAACTAGCTACATGTGAAATACTCAGAGAACAACCAGACAAAATATCTTGGAACACTGAGGAAATAAACTTCAAGTACAGATTTTAAAATAATTCTAACAGGCTCTATCCTCGGGACTGAGTAATTTTACTGGCACAGTGCCTTGCATATTCAGGCACTTAAAATACCCTGACGGGCTGCAAGTTTGTTTGTAGAGTGTGCATTGTAAGCCTGGCTCTCATTTGAGTGGCAGAGTGGACGCCTGAGGAATTTTGTAGGCTTGCTTTCACATGGTAATATAATTTTATGCCTCTGAAAGCATTCAAGTACACAGAGAAAACTTCAGTTTGTCCCATGTTTGGATCAAAATTTAATATGATTTATGAGTAGGTATTGCTTGATGACACATGCCCAGTGTTACAGTTTCTCATATAAAATTATAAAATACATCATACTGAAGAATGACGAAAAAAAAAGTATAGAATACAATTATTCTGTGATCTGAACTCATATGTACCCAAAATATAGTGCCCTCTCTAGGATATCAGTGTTTTTATGTTAAAAGGAAAAGTGACTCAGGCATAGAGGCTCATGCCTGTAAGCCTAGCATTTTGGGAGGCTGAGGCAGGTGGATCGCTTGAGTCCAGGAGTTCGAGACCAGCCTCGATGACATGGTGAAACCCCATCTCTACAAAAATACAAAAAATTAGCCAGGCGTGATGGTGCATGCCTGTAATCCCAGCTACTCAAGAGGCTAAGGTGGGAGAATCGCTTGAGCCCGGGAGACAAAGGTTGCAGTGGGTTGAGACTGTGCCTCTGTTCTCCAGCCTGGGCAACTGAGCAAGACTCTGTCTCGAAAAAACAAAAAAAAAGTTAAAAAAGGAAAAGTGAACAAGATCCCTGTTCACAAAGGAAAAGTCACATAAGAGCAATATGATGACATGAGCACCACTATATAACGGGAAAAGATGCCAAAAACAAGAGAGTAAGAGAAACAAAATTAATTTGCTGGGGTAAAATTTACATTAAAATCTCAAATTTAATAACAACATTTAATATGACAAGGAGGTGTCCAAAAAACATATTCCATATTTAACAAATAAAACTCACAGGTAATTTAGGTTAAAAAAAAAAAACCACTTCTGTTCTGAGGAAAGATCTGCTACAGAAAGAGAATCCAGCCTATCAAAATTATGTGAATTTTATAATGCTTGTCACAGGGTGGGAGGTTCAAGTTCTTTGGCTGGGAAAGGAAGAACCGTTTCGCATCCTTCAGTTGGACCACCACCCTGGGCACATTGTGAGTTGCTTAGTAGCTTCTGCACTCTCAAAACCAAAGGAAAGGTGGAAAGCTCCCTTGTGCCTTCCAGGTCAATGGCCACAGATGACCCACGGCCAGCCCCTCTGCTCAGCACTGTCCCCTGCGGCTCATCCATGCTTCTGTTCAGGGGTGACACTGCTTCCCAAGAGAGACCTGCCCAGACATAGCATGTCTAAGCCCACCTCCACATTAAGGTCCTGTTTTCCCAGTTCCATAACTGAAGTCAGATCCCTTTAATTACCAACTTCAAAAAAAAAAAAAAAAAAAGTAACACACACACACACACACACAAAAAAAATACCAACTTCA